TAAATATTATTTCATTTCATTGCTTAAATTTCGGGACCAGCTACCAGTTTTACAGTTTACATCTAGAGAGAAGATAGTAGGGAAAGTGATAGGAAAAGTAGTGAAAGTTTCAACTAAAGGGTCCAACAGACGGGGGTCAATTGGTGATTGACCTTCTACCCCAAGAAACTGATATGATACCGTATGGTCCGGGTACAACGAGGTGGGCGTGATTCTGAGATGGTGTGCTGCACTCAAAGTCAGTCCGTCGCCCTTTCTTAAAAGAAAGGTTAGGCGAATAAGATTACGGGATCTGTTGCGCTTTGTCGGATACTCTAGATCTGATTTATAATCAACAATATTCTCTTACGCTCTAATAATATAAAAGCTTTTAAAAAGCAATACTTCACGAGTATTCAATACCTAGTTAGTTTAAATATTTACCTATTTCAAAAATACATTGTTATGTATTCACCCTATCCAATAAATACTAAATTTCCTTTACGCTACCGCTACGGGAAATAGCTTTTAAACGAACAGTTTAGACTAGGTAAATTCAATTTTGGGTTTTAAAGTGATAGAACGCTTTATGTGGAAAATGTTGTTTTGCTAAAATTCAAATTTAGAAAATAACTTTTTATTTTTTATGAAAGTAATATTTTTCAGATATAACTTTTATAAAAAATTTCAATATTTATCAAAGAGGACATAGTCTATGTGATTTTTTTTGATGTGTTACATTTTCCCTCTAGCATTCCTGCAATCTGTGGAAGTAATTTAATAAAAAGGGACGGAAGTGTGTAACAGGAAGGTGGGGAAGCCCGCGCTATTTGATTTGACCAATGGGCTCGCGTGGTTATAGAGTTGGTCGTCAGATGGTACCAACCCATTTTCCGTGAGGTTTTTTTATAGTATAAACGAGCACACAGTCCACCTGATGGTAAGTGGTTGCTGTGTCCCATAGACATCTACATCTATTCTCGATTAAGAATCAAAATGCAGATGCGTTTCCACCCCTGAGCACTAAGATGGAATGCCTCGTTTCCAGTAAAATGGTCTCCAATTCTCTACAATCACCATACGAAATACAACAGCATTGAGTTGTTCTTTCAGTCCGGTAAGCTATGAGAGTGTGGTCCTTCCCTGGTCGAGCCGAAAAATTCGTACTATAACCATAATATACCTGTAGCATGGTTCTACCACGTGAACTGCATGTATCAAGTACGTATATCAAGAGACTGTTTTGGATGGCATCGTAAAGATCTGACTCAGAAACTCTTCCAAGAGCGGTCTTGGGTATTTCAGCAAGATTCTGCACCGGCCCATAAGGCCAAAACCACTCAAGCTTGTTTTAAGTTCAAGCTGTCGATCTTATCAAGCATGAAGACTGGCCCTCCTCCAGTCCCAATCTTAATCCTCTGGATTATAAAACATGGAAATTTTTAGAAGAGAAGGTGAGTTCTAAATCTCTTAAAAACTTGGAAAGTCTCCAGTCATCATTGAAATAATCAGTGGCAGACATATACATGAATATGGTTCGTACTGCTATCTACGACAGGCTGCAAAGACTAAGAGAGTGTATAAAAATGGAGGGGCACATTTTGAATACATTTTATACCATAATTATCTTAATTTAATAATTTTTAATGAACACTAACATTTTGTGAAGTAAGTTTTACTTTTGATTTTATGACCATTTTTATTTGTGAGAATATTTAAGGACCGACTAGATATAGTGTCAGGATTGTGTGAAATGGAAGTCCATAGTCTTTCACTCTGGGTGACAAACGTGAGAGTTTGTGTATATTGTTATAGTCTGTTCAACATATGGCGATAAAACTTTTAGCCGGAAAAATGTCAGTATCGTTCCGTTTGACTATGTCGGTTATACTGATTCTACTGCAAATACGAATCTTTACGAAGTTTACAGATAAACTCCGAACCCTCTTTATACCTCACTAAGCAAACTTGAGCTTATTTTTACGACCAGTAGTGAATAACCACGTATGTTTCAATTTTTGAGATACACGTGACGAGAAGGTGTGTTGTAATCTCCCGAGCTCTGCCCAGCCGTTACATATGACATTTGTCTTATCTGTGTTCATTTTAAGATCTATTTGTTGCGAGAAAAATTGAGCATAGTGCCCAGGTCCTCCAACAATGTTATCATTATAGCTATATCTTAGGAAAATCGAATATGAGTTATGTACTCGCCATAGATGTCGATATCGTATCATTTTTAGTCCAGAAACTGAAAAATGTCATCCAGTGTAGCGGTGCAGAGGTTCGGGGATATGACTTCATGCTGTATTAAGCCTTTCTGCAATTGGATAGATTTCATACTCTGGTTCTCTACTCGGATAGTTGTCGTAGCCCTAATGTACAAACACTTCAACACATCCATATAACGCCAGTCAAATTTGCAACACTGAAGGGACTCTAACACCGGGCACCCCAGTGCCAGCACCTTCCACTTGACGGCATCTAGCGCAGAGTGTTTTAAATCGTTCACGACCGAGTCGAATCTTTCTGGTCGGCTTGATTCACTGGCACTGCGTAGGGATGTTGCATAATTTTGCATTTTCTATCGCATCTACCACGGGAAGTGCTATGAGGAATTGTTCGGATTAATTGTAGCCGCTAAATTTCACGAACGCACATCGCGTCAATATTCACGATACCATACCCACCATCTGGATGCTTGGCGGTCCTCCACTGTGCGTTTTACTAGGAGTTTTCTTCCTTGTACAACTTCTCTGTGGAATTGTTTACCATCGGTGATTTTTCCGGACCGATACGATAGGCACCCTCAAGAAAAGAGCTTACTACTCCTTTCTAAAAGGCTGGCAACGCCTCTGCAATTCTTCTGGTGTTGCAGTTGTACAGGGGCGGCGGTAGTCACTTACTATCAGGTGAGCCGCATGCTCGTTTGCCCCTCTTCTATAAAAAACCACCCAAATTTTGACACATCAAAGTGAAAGATTGTTCTATTCGGTGCTCTGCATAACTTGGCGAAGGATCCACGTACTTTGGTACTAAAGTCTCTTTAGAAACAAACTTGTTCGTGAGGCTACCAGTTGTTAAGTCCTTGTGCAATCTTAGAGCTTATATAAGAGCACGAGAGGTTTAATATCCTATCATAATTGTTAACCTGTTAACCATCTTTTCAATCGCTTTTGCGGAATTTCGGTTTCACTTAACAGTGATTTAAGTAATATGATATTCTAACTTTATTAAATGGCTTCGAGACTGAGGTGTCTGTAAAGATAATTTTCACGTCACTGTTTATTCGGAATGGTTGTTATGTTGCTTTATCGAATTCATGTCAATAAAGATTGCCACTATAGGTGTATTCTTTTTGAGCTTATTCTTTTATAAGTAATGACACCGCATAAAGCGTCTTTGCTCTTAGCTGAGGCCGAAACCGTATCGACAAACACTAAGGCCGGACACATGCATACGGAATTCCGTTTCGGGTTTCCGTTTCGGAATTCCGAACGGGTCGGCCACACACATACGGAATTCCGTTTTGCCCGCAAAATTTCGAACGGAAAACTACCGTACGTTTGTGACGGGTCATATATATATTTTATGTGAACCTGCTGCGTTCGGAATCTCGAATCGGAATTTCAAAACGGAATCCTGAAACGGAATCCCGTATGTATGTGGCAGGTCTTAGTTTGCTTATATTTTTTGAAAATTTTTACACTATTTTGTATATGAACAATAATTGCACTGCTGTCAGATTCTTTGTATTTTTACTAATATATAATTTAATTGTTTTTTTTTTATTAAATGTTATTAAAGTGCATAGTTTCAACTTACTTTAAAGTTAAATTAACAATAATAATTTAAGGGTAACAACTAATAATAATCAATCTAATAAACAATTAAAAATCAAAAATAATTACTTAATGCAGCATGGCTCTTTCACGTATCTTCTATTTAGATGAACATTATAATACACAATATTACTTCATTCTTTGAATTTTTTAGTCATTGGTTTGGTACAACTCTTAGGAGTGTTAACGTAAAATTGAAATATATATTGTTAAAATTAGGGAAAAATAATAAAAGAAAATAAGAAGAATTGAAGGTGGAAAGAAAGAAAAAAGCTTGAGTGGCGGCCTCGTAACGGCGGACGAAGTTTAGTGCGTCCCCCCACTAGATGGAGTGACGATCTTATAAGACGAGGAAATCGATGGATGCAGGTGGCTCAGGACCATGCTTTGTGGCATTTCTAAGGGGAGGCCTATATTCAGCAGTGGACTAGTGAAGGGCTGTAATGATGATGATGATGATGATGAAGGTAGAACCATAATCTTAACTTAATAACTTGTTTTAGCAGTATAAAGTATCGCGCAGTCAACTAAGAGGGATCAATCGGTAATTCTACGAGTCTCATGTAGTTACTATGCCCATTGTACTAAAAGGTTACTTCTACACTGAGATTCTGCCTAAATAAGGCAAAATAAGGAAGGCGGTGTTGCTGAGAGGCTGTTCTGTGTTATATTGAGATGATTAGTGTTGCTGTTGCTTTGCATACTTTGGTGTTATAATATAATTGTAACTGGTACATATTACGGTTGGTCGAACTGCATTTGCTCTATACTGAATGTGTAGTGCTGTACGTTGTCTTATTTCTGATAATGAATAATTGCGTAAGCAAGGGAGCAAGTTGAACATCGGCTCTCACACTTTTATTACTTTTAACAATTCACCATCAGAATAAATTCTAATACGAGTAACATTCTTTTATTTAAACCATTTTGAGAACAATTTCTAACCTCAGAATTGGAATAGGTTCTAAAAATATATATTTTATTATTATATAGGTACCTTTTTCTTGTTTGTTTTACATCAATATCTCAAAGTTTGAAGTTATTAAGAACTTTTATTAAAATAAGCACAACTCAAAACGACCTACTATTATTATATATATAATATTTAATAATTAAAAACAATACAAATATGTAGTGGTATGTATGACGATTACAGGTTTTTACAAATTTATAACTTACCGTGCTTGCACATGGTTCACGTGGGTCGTGATGGTAAGTAGATAAATGTCGAATTGTTCCCGCCATTCTGATTTAACCTTGACTACATTACGTTTTACTTCATTTTCGGCAAATCCTTGTGAAATACACATTTGGCAACTTGGCACCCGTCTGGTATCGCCTCGCCGCTTGGCGCCCTTTTGTTGCTAACTGGTCGACAAGGCATCGCGTCCTCGCGGTGATATCACACAGCTAGCGAGTTGACTCCGCGCGGCGTAACGCGGTGGGGAATTGTTTTGTAATGTCCGAGATTTCTATCATTTTACGAAAACTCATTTAGACACAATAACCTGTATTTTAGTTACACAAACTTAGGATTGATTTAATAATATATCTGTGTGTGTTACACACAACGCTATAGAAAAAAAAATACACAAACTCATAGAAAATAAGAATGACATAAAACAACACGCCATGTCTTGTTGGTACTCAAAAGGAGGTCAGTAAGCTGGCAGTGGAGGATTAGAGACGAAGGAAAATTTATGAAAGGACAGAACATCATCCTCTAGAAATAACTATCTGGCAAATTTACACTTCATCCACTTAATCACCCACGATTTGGATTAAAAAGTGAGCGGTTTTTTATTTCTACTTGAATGAAGCTTTATCGATCTGTTGAAAAATGCATCATCTATCATGGAGAGGAGATTCTCCAGTGTAAACAAAAGATCTTTTCTGTAAGTGTCTATACTGTGACCTTAGAAACTATATTTTATTGAACTTATTTTATATCATTATTTAATTAATACTGGTGAGATTTATTTAAAAAAAAGATACTAATTTAAGCCTTTTTAAAAGAAATATCTGAATCAAATTGTATATATTGGTTTACAACTTTCTGGAAGTATGAGAAAAAATGTGAGAAAAATAGAAAAAAAATTTACTATTTAGGTTCTTAAATATTCAGTACTTTTTTACAGTTAAATTTATATTCGTGCTATTGTAATGTGTTTTATTGTTTTTCAAAAGTTTTTTTTTATAAAAACTGAAATGACAAGCGAACACAGTCACAGAACACAACAACACAACACAGAACACAGCACATACAGTCAACCTTATGGTGAGTCGTTACTGCAGTTCATGGACATCTGGAGCTAACTTCTAACAAATGCATTGTACCCCTGAGGGCTAAGATTGTATTGGCTCACAGTCTGTGTTGTACCGGCTTTCTATACCCTTTAGACTAGAACAGAGCAATGCAAGCACTGCTTTTTTGCGATACTTTTTGGTACCTACCTAGACGGACTCCCAGACAGACCTACCACCTAGTTAACCAGTAGAGTATTAGATATGTTGATGGTCAGATTTACGGTTTAAGATTTGAGTAAGTTTTATAGTGCTATGTGTTAGATGTAAAAACAGTTCCTTTTTTTAGTTCTACTACTAGTACAAATTCTATTACCTCATAGCACAAAACCTACTAAAATCCCACCCATTACTTGAAATACACAAATAAACAATTTACAAAGCTAACTTTAGTTTTTTAATTTTTTTTTATAGACTATGGGTGGAAAATGATCACAGTCCACCTGATGGTAAGTGGTTGCTGTGGCGCATAGACATCTACATCTATCCTCGATTAAAAATCAAAATGCAGATACATTGCCCCCCTGAGGATTAAGACGAAATTCCACTAAAAAGGATCTCCGGCTCTTTACACTCACCATACGAAACACAACAGCATTGAGCTGCTATTTTACGCTGTGTTAAGTGAGAGCTGCAGCATGGCACTACCACGTAAAAATATCGTTTATATTTTCCAAAACTTAAATACAGTATTTATGATAGTTATAAATGAAAAGTTAAAGTAAGAACCATATTTCGGACTGTTAGTTGCATTGTTTAAATATAATAGGAGATGCATTGTATACAAAAAAATGACTTGCTAAACCTATCGTATGATTCACCACATTATATGAGAAGACTAAAATCATTAACATAGTCTGCTTATGTGTTAAATATATAAATGTGAAATTTCCTACTTCAATCTTAAAATTTACAATTTTAAAAGAATATGCCCCTTAAGTTTTATCTTATTAGATAAAAACTCTAAAAGTTACGATATTGTAACACATGGGACAAACAGCCATAATTAAATTGTAAGGGTTGCCCTAAACAGCTTTGGTAATTTAATTTAAAATTTAATTTGGTAATAATAATAACTAACCTTATTTAATTAATATGTCAAACTCCATATTATTGTAGTTGTCGATCACATGTCATAAACTTATAACTTAACTGGCACTGAGCCTTCAGATTGTGCCTCAAAGACAGTGGACTTATTAATAAAATATAATTGAATGCTAAAATTATAATAATAATGATGATTTTGGACTTACATTGAATTATGTTTTTCTTTATAAATATTAATTTTAGCCTTGCCTTATTTCGTAACTGACTTCAGTCAGTTCAGTCACCTTTCAAGGTGTTATACATTTGATTTAACAAAAAATTTTTCTTCATCAAAAATCTGCTGAGTGATATTGCTAGCCAAAACAATAATAAGCCTAAAGCACCAAAAAATAATTGTGCTTCGGGTCCATTAGGCACACGAATGGTATATTTACTTGGGAAAAAGGTTGCAGACAAATTGATCGCACACATTACTCATACTTAGGAAGATCGAAAAGAACATTAAACAGTGACAGGCTATGAAAGCAATTTCATGGTGGTTCTCATATTACTGTAAATAGTTATAGTATCTGGCAACCGATCGCTGGGCGTTAGAAAAAAAAAATAATTTTCTCAGGAACGACATTTGTCTAGATAAACTTGGAAATTAAAAGCTCCGAGTAATTAATAGCAATATGTAAGTAGTTACTATAATAAAAGAATAAAACATTACCTTAATACAAAGTTTAATCGAATGTGTTAGAACCGTTTTTTGCTTTTGCTATCTAGAAGTATACGATATTTATCACGGATAACTTTTGATTAGTCTGTTGAAGATATTTTATTTATATTAGCAATCAGAAGAGAGAAATTATGGAGCGATATGTTATGATTTAATTAATCATGAAAACATGTTGAAAATAAGACGCTCCAAAGTGATCAGACTATTTCTCAATGGGCACATTATTAGGAAAGGGAACATATAAAGGAAGAAATTGACTTTAAAGATTGTAAGCCAATAAAGAGACGACTGTAGAAATTTTGTTTTCATTATATATAAATGAAGTATATGAGAAAAACTTACTCCGAATCCTCAATTTACAAGATTGGTTTAGTATGGAAACCATAGTTTAGTAAATGCATTTTTATATCAAGGAAAAAGTTTGATAACTTTCGTAAGCTTTGGGATTGGGAAGCACATTTTTGCTTTAATAAAATTTAATTTTGCTACGTTCTTATAATTACTTTGCTGTCGTGTATTTTGTTGTTTTTGTCGTGTACTTTTAAACATTTTTCATAAAAACTATAGATCTATAAAAAAATGTTGATTATGGAACAGGTCATTTGTATAGCATATTTAGAATTATGTTTTAGGTAAGTATATGTTAATTATTGTACTCGTTTTAAAATTGAATCTTCTATAATATTATGTTTTATACTACACATATAAAACAACTAAAGCAGTAATATATTATTTTGAACAATCAATATACTAAAGTATTTGAGTAAAAGTTCCTATAGTTATTGCTCTATTAAAATAATTTAAATCCAGCTGTTGTTCACTACTGTGCCACCTCTCCAATAAATTTCATACTACAGTATTTTTATTATTATAAATAAATTATGTTTAAATTTTTTATCGTACATTTATCAATGAATATTTTTTTATAATAATTCCCATTGTATTACAAAATAACATAGTTCAGGTAAAATTTCTTTTAGAACCTTGAAGTTTCTTTGAAATTTAATACTAAAGAGGAATCCCTGTTAAAGCTCTCTTCTTCGTACTTTAAATTGGGTATAAGTAATGCCGACAATATGTTTGATGATCGCTACGTTTTGTTAATGATTTCATGTAGGAGCCACCACTATATTTGATGTACTAGTCTACTAATTATGGTGTAATTCGACAAGAAAATGTGGTAAAGGGTATGGTATAGGGTCATATTATAAAGCTGTAAAATCTTATATCGGCGACATTATTTTCTAAATCTCGACTTCCTAAGCCCGATTGGATAGAATATGTGTACTGGTAGACTATTAATTAAAGTGAGTGTTAATATGTAGAGTTTATATGCATTTTAACAGATGTATCATTTATTAATAACAATCGTAGATAACAGACTAAAAAAATAAATCTTATTTTTTTAACGATACATACTAGATGGAAGCTACTAGCTAGCTAGGACTTTAGAAATTTATTGTGGATTTTAAATTTTCTGGGTTAATAAATATTTGTAGGTTTTGCTTGTATTGATAATAACCTAAATAGAATGTAGTTAATCTTTTTTAAGTAACAATATGATATAGTTAGAATGATTACTTATAATTTTTTGTATCAACGTGGTAAGCCCTATGCACGTTGATACATAAACGCTATACGTTATAAGTAAATAAAATACTGAAAATGACTTTATATAACCATTACTCCACGACGAAAAAAAACTCACGCCTGTATTTCTGTTTTTCTTCGTAAGATTACTCGCTAATCCCTTGTTATTAACGGAATAAAAGATCTTGATATCAACCATGACAATTAAAACTAAAGTACCGATAAGCTAACTGCAACATGTTGGCGGCTGTAATCATTAAATAGTAGTAAATTTATGAACTTTGAAATTATGTTACTAAATAAGTAAATGATGTGTTAACATTATATTATGAAGCTAACTGACTAACTGCATTTAATAGATCTTAACATTAATATAAGTTAAACTTGCGTCTCAGACGAATCCTATAAGAACTTACGGCATTTTTACCGCCGGTAACTTTATAGCATTTTCTTTGATACGTACAATCCATTTCCTTATTTAAATTTCGTTTTAATTTAGCAACTTCAAAACCTTCCTGTTGCAAGGCAAAGTTATATTTTGAATGATTTTTGAAAAGTTTTTATTGTAAGGTAGATAAATAAG